TGAGTCAGCCCACTACAGCACCTTCATCACTGTTAGTTGCTGCTTCTTTCACAAAAGCAGTATCTTCATCTAAATTGCCCAATTAGCATGAAAAGTTGAGAGTAATGTATAAATACATGTATTTTTATGTACATGCATTATTTATACCTGCTGATGATGTCCATCGGTTGTCACTACCAATGATTAAAGTGTAATGGTGGGTTTGGTGCAATTTCATCTTACAGTAAGTATAGAATATATCATATATGAGACACTTGTCCCAATCTTCAATTCCCTTATTCCTATTAGTCTATTAGTCCATTGGTACAGTGTGTGTGTGTTGTAGTGTACTAGTAGTTACTGGTAAAACCACAAATAAAAACAAATCATTACTAGTACTAGTATAAAGTCACTGTACAAAGTATATATACAGGAACCAGTTAATTGAATTACAATCAACACTAATCATTCCTAGAACCACATAAAGTCACTATACATGTATATACATTTGTAGTACTGGTACCTGTACTTATTACAGGCACCAAATACCATTAAAATGACTACTACATTGTACATGTACTATACTACTTTTGAGAATTATGAATTATGATGTGTCAGATTTGAGATTTCCTTATTTGGAGGAAGATGAGTAGCCCATAAAAGTTTTTTGTAGCTTAAATAGTTTGAGTTCATATTTCAGTTGTACCAGTGAGTAGTCAGTCAAGACAGTAGCTATGTCTCTCCTGTTAGTGGTTGTTCTCTTATTCTTCAGTAGCTCCTGCAGTGTCTCCTCTGGTCAGTATTATGTGTCTGATGACTGCAGTTCAGTTACTCAGTCACCTTGTAATCCTTTATCAGTGTATGCTGGGAATATGTCTCAATACAATAACACCATCTTCTACTTCATTGGAACTACTAGTATTAGCAATTATGTTATTGCCATGACTGCAGTAAAGAATGTTACTCTACATGGACTGGATCAGTCTCCTAGTATCCACTGCAATGAGGAAGTTTCTAAAAATAGTATTGCAGTACAATACAGTGATAATGTCACCATTTCTAACATATCCTTTAGTGATTGTACAGTGAAGGTTGATTCGTCTAACAATATTACAATAACTAATTCTGTTTTTGCCTCATCGTTTGGTACAAATCATTATTATTATTCATTAGTTACATCTAATGCTTTTGATCTTAAAATATCATCATCAGTATTTTCTGCAGGCTTTCTTTGGTATCCTTTCTATACCCCTCTTCCAGGCTGTAGTGATGAATTACTCCATTACTCATTGATACTGACTAATGTTACCTTTACTGCTGGCAGTGGAATAGAACTAGACATGCTTCATGGTACCACATATAATGTATCAATCATCTTTGATCATGTTCAATGCTGCACTAAACATGGACTTCAGCCGGGGGGTCTTTTTTATTTTTTAATTATCAACTCATCATTTTATGATGATGATGATGGTGCTGGTCTTCTTATTGCTTTTGATGAAAATTCAAAATCAACTGATTGCTCTTATCCTGGTACTCAATTAACTTCTACTCTTTTGATTGAGGACAGTCAAATTTATAATAATAAACAAGGATTGAAGATCATTAGTGATGTGTATTTAATAGAAGCAGTAAACTATCACATTATTATTAAATCATGTTTGATATATGACAATATAAATGAAGGATTATTCATTGATGGAACATTTTTGAGATTCCTTCAAATTGATATAATAGACACTGAACTTATTGGAAATGGAGGAAATAAGATAATGAACAGTAATGCTATTAGTCTCAGTAATGTTACTGTTGCTAACAGTACCTCAACAGGATTGAGTCTTACAGCATCATTAGTAACAATTAAAAATGATTTAATAGTCAAGAACAATACTGGAGTAGTTGGAGGAGGATTAGCAATGAATGATTCATCAGCATTGATAGTATCATCATCAGCTAACTTAAAGTTTATTGATAATCATGCTTCTTATAAAGGAGGAGGGATTTATGTTGAAGAGTCAACACATAGTGACATACTTAATACACCAAATATACCTCTTACATTAATAAATAATAGTGCTGGACTGGTTGGTGGTGATGTGTATGGGGTATATGGTAAGACACACAGTAGTCAGTTCAATTTGATGAACCCAAACATTAGTTCAACAAGTGATGCTGCTAATATATGCTTTTTTCATCTTCATACTACGACTAGTTACAAAAACTGTAAAAAAACTGTAAGTGATCAACACATTTATCCAGGTCAAGCATTGAAGTTTAATGTGGCTTTGTTTGGTTATGATTACTTTGGATCACTTACTCCCACAGATGGTACAGTAGAAATAACTAATGATTATGGCACATTGCTCAATGAAACATACATTCCCAATACTTGTTCATTGATTGAATACACACCAAAGCTGACTCAAACAGAATATAAAAGTGAATTAGATATTACTTCTTCTAAGACAAACAATGTGATTTTTCATTTGATTGTTAATGAGTGTCCCATTGGTTTCACGTTAGATAAGTCACAAGGTTCCTGTACTTGCAGTCAAAGTCTTTCAAGAGAGAATGTCACATGTGATATAAATACTCTAAACATTACACACAATGGTCTACTGTGGATTGGAACATATCATACCACTACACCTTTCAATGCTAATGAAACCAATCCTAATGCATGCATTATCAATGAGGACTGTCTCCTCTATTGTTCTCCTAATTCTGTTACCTTCAAATTGAATCACACTCATACTCAATGTGTGGATAATAGAGGACACAGAATGTGTGGATCATGTACAGAGGGATACAGTCTACTAATGGGATCAAACAAGTGTGGACAGTGTCATAATAATTACATGATGATAGCTTGGATTGCTCTGTTTGCAGTGATGGGTGTACTACTTGTGGTTCTACTCATTGCTCTCAATTTAACAGTATCAGTGGGTACACTCAATGGTCTATTGTTCTATGCTAACATTGTCAAGTTATACGAGCCAGTCTTTTCAAGGAAAGGAGCATTACCAGTCTTGAGTCAAGTCATATCATGGATTAACTTAGACTTTGGGTTTGAGATATGTTTTTACAATGGTATGGACAGTTATGCTAAACA